GTGTGTGTGTGTGTGTGTGTGGAGGGGGGGGGTGTTTGTGTTGTTTATATTTTCAGCGTAGCTTCGTTAGTGGAGTTGGATGTGTAGGCTCTTTCCGTGGCTTTGCGTGCCCGGGGAACGTTGTTGGCGGGCGTCGTACAAACGACTTGTCGGTAAGTACGTCCCCAGAGAAGCACACATTTGGCTTTTTTTTTCTCGTTGATGTCTCGTTGGACTCGTGTACGTGGCGGTCATCTCTCCTCATGCATTGCCGCGTCGTGCGTCAGCGGTGTCTCCTCACAGAGGCAGCGAAGTATCTCTTGCAGGGAGCAGAGGACGACGTCGCCGTGCGCCCGACGCCGAGTGTGGAGAAGCCCGTGCTTGGCTGGAGGCAAAGCGTGTGCGGAGGCCGCGGAAGAAGGCGCAAGCGTGAAAGTGGGGTCCATTTCCCCCAGCCTGCAGGGAGACAAGGCGCGAGACTGCCAGGCACGTAGCAGCGTGTGTCGAATCGTGTTAAACAGCTCTTGCACCCGCGCCTCCAGGCAATCGTTTCCGTGGCACGGCTCCCGCCGTGGGCCGCCGGCGGTCCGTGGCGTTTCCCTCTGCAGCTCCCGTTCGACGCTTAAGAGCAGCTTTCGTCGCGAGGCTGCGTCGGCAATGGCGTCAAACGCGACGTGGCCGAGGGGCAGGCGAATAAACAGAAAGCGCCGCCGCTGCGAAGCCTCCACGCCTGCATGCTTGGCCAGCCACGCGGTTGCGTCGCCCCACGGCATTCCTGTGCAGGAGGTTAGCCAGTTTAGCAGCATGGGTGGAAGCACGGCGTCCTCCTCACACTTCTCCAGCGCGGCGCTGAGATTGCGGACAGCCGCCAGAACGCGTTCGGTGGTTGCCGCTGCGATAGCGCCGGAAGCAAGGGAGGATGTCGCGGCCTCCTCCCACTGTATACGTGCCCGCATCGTCCAGAAGAGCCACACGACGAGTGTCTGCTCACCGCAGCGAGCCGAGGGTACTTCTGCCAGTAGCCGCAGCCACTGCAATGCAGTCTCCGCTTCTGCCCCCGTGCGCCTTGCGGCATCGGTCGGGCAAAAGCCCACGCGTGCCACCGCCTCAAAAAAGGCGGCCATCACCTCTTGCGTTGTCCCGCTCCTGTGCAGAGATGAGTGGGGACGCCGCTCAGACGCCTCCAGGCGGTCTTCGGAGGATACCGCGCGCCCCTCGTCAAGCACCTGAAGAATGTGACGGAGCAACACTGCCGCACCTCCCAGCCGGTGATCCTCCGTGATCCAGCAAGCCATGACCTGTACGAGCAGGGCGAGGCCGCCTGTGTGGTGGGAGGCAGCATTCCTGGGGCGGCTCGCCTCCTCCTCGTCCAGAATACGCATGGACTCCACAACGACAGCGTACTTTCCCTCGCCCACACGATGAAGAAGGTCGGAGACAAACTCCATTTTTTCACGCAACGATAGCCGTTGTGATAAATAGTCTTGGAGGAGTAGGACAAGGCTGTCGCCCGGAGGCCGCGCCTCCTCCACCTCGCAGAGCTGAGTGAGCTCAAGGTGTGCTTGACGCATCCAGAACTTCTCTGCCGCGTCGTAGAGGCAGCCGCGAAGAAGCGAGGCCCTCACCACCTCCCGCACAGGTCGCTGCAGTGGCACCTTCGACGACGACAAGCGTTTGTTCACAACCTCCTCAAGAAAGTCTAACGGCGGCAAGCGGGCGGCCAACGCGGCGACCACCTCGGGGCACCGCAGCGTTACTTGTGCTGCATCGCGAAAGGGTGGCCTGTTCTCTTTCGCTTCTGAATTGCAACCCTGCTCAGGTGAAAGGCGCGGCCACGCATCTAAAACCTGCAACACCGCCGCGCTGGAAGGCGCGCGCAGGAGCAGGCGAGTAAGCAAGAGCTGCTCCGTGGAAATGGAGGGCACCACACGACGCCCCTGACACGCCGCCGCCGCCGCCGCCCAACCTCGCTGCACGCGTTGACAGACGGAAAATTCCGCAACGCGCGTCGTCGCTTCGGTGAGGCGATGAAATATCTCCTGTTCCTCCTGTAGCTCGTCCACGTCTTTATACTCCCTGTAGCTGGTGATTAGGGCGGCAAGACGCAGCACCTCCAAACTACTCTTCTCTAACTCTGGGAACATGAGCAGGGGGTTGGGGACGCTTTCGTTCAAGCTGCTCTCCGTGCAGGCTTCGTCGCGGGCCGGCAGGCCTTCCCCAGGCGTGGCCACTTTATCTGCAGGAGCGGCGGCAAGGCCAAGAGGTGGAGGCGCCGACTGGAGAAGACCTGAGAGCACGCGCTGCGCCTCCGTTACCCCATTCAACGCGCTCCAGTACGCCTCCCATCGCAGCAGCAGCTCATCCATCAACGGCACCAGCGAGGGTGGGTAGACGCACGCCCTGTAGCAGCCATCATGGCTAACCGCGTCCAGGACAGATGTCGTATCACTCTGCACCCGAGACTTGTGAAGCTCCCGTGCATAGGACTCCAAAAGAGCATAGGTAGACAAGTTGCAAATAGTCCTTAACGCATCCTCCCATCGCCCTTTGCGAAGGTTGTGCCGCAACGAAAGGTTCACAACGGCGCAAGGAGCTGAGATAATGGGTAGCAAACCCGAGAACAAGGCCTGTGGAGGCGGCGGAGAGCTTGGCCCAGTATGCGCAGTTCCCACAGCTGCCGAAGCTTCCCCTGCAGAGGGAACCATGTCACGCGTAATGAACCGAAGCCTATGATACAATGGACGAAGCGTGGGCTGATACTGCGTGCTGTGCAGCAGAAAAGCCAAGGGAGATGGTGGACTGTGCGGCACGCCGTCATCATTATTTGGTGCGCTAGAACCCAAGTGTAGAGACGTTTCACCGTGCACTTGCCTTCTTGCCGCGTCGAACTCGGAGTATGCAGACGGCTTCAACACGCCAACGGTTGCTGAGGCATGAACCCCGTCTCCCTTGACCGCGACTTGCAACCGAAGCAAGAGCGACATCACGGCTTCATCTGCGATAGGAAGACGTCGCTTGCGAAAAAACTCGTAGCAATCCAATGCCGACTGCCAGGAGTGCATCCTTGCGCAGAGAACTTCCGTGGTTGAGATGGTCCACGGCGCCCGTTTTGCGTCTCCCGCACCGGCCTGCGCAAGACCAGTTACCGCCCTTGCAATCCCAGGAGGCGGTAGCGGGCGCCCTGTCATACCATATGCTTACACTGATAAATGAGAATAACCCTTAATTTCTTTCTTTCTTTTTTTGCGTCTGGGCTGTTTTGTTGTTGCGGATCCTTTCAAACCCCCTCTGTGCGTTTTAGCAACAACACGTGTGAGGCTTGGAGTTCTCGTCCGGGGCCCCGAGTTGCAAAGCGCCAAACGCTCACATCAAAGTGGAACAGCTAGAAACAAACACTAAGAGAAAGGGAAAGAGGTGAAAAGCAAAATAAATAATAATAATAATACAAAAGAAAACATGGGGCTTCTCCCCACAAGAAGACCACGATAGCGATTTTTTTGAAGAACCCTTACGGCTAGAAACATCACACAATTTCGCCTACGCTTCCATGTAAAAATAAAAGTCTTTACCCATGCTACTCGGCATTTTTACCCCCATGTTTTCTTCGTATTAACCTTCCATCTGAGCTTTGCTGTTCCTTACCCACAGCTGTGATTTTTTTTGTCTTCTCCCTTCGCTGGAGACGAGGGCGGTTCTCTAAAGAGTCCACAGGGAAGATGCCGGGGGGGCACCACAGAGGCTTGAATAGCACCCACGCCGGCGATGTTCCCCCTCACACGTCTTCCATTCAGATGAGAACCACTACGTTTTCAAAAAACTACTTTTGTTTCTTATCCACCTCCGCCGTCTTTTCGTGTTTTTGTTGTGCAATCTGCTTCCGTGTCTTCTCCCTGTAGGCCACAATCTGCAAAAGAATTACTGCGTTCAGTGTTACTGCAACTCCAAACTGCATCAGCATCATGTATTTGCCCTGCTCCACCGAGACGTTTTGAAAAGTCGTTAACAGCCGCGAGATGCCACCACACATGGCCAGCCAAAATGTCAGAAAAGACAAATGTCCTGTTGACTGGTTACGATAATTCATTAGTATTTGGGGCACACGGCTGCTTATCCCGAATAGAATTTGTATACTAAACAGCCATTCGTGGAAAACGCGGGGAAGAAATCCAGAGGACATAGCAACCAATGACACTGCTTCCAGGGTAAACACCAACAATGCACGCGACATGGTATGTTGCAAGTAGCCCACCAAAAGTAGCAAAAAGGCCACTTCGACCAGGATAAGCATGTTCTCTCCGTAATCCTTGAAGTTCAGCGCCTGAGCAATCCCCCAGCTCGTGGTGATGACAAAGGCAGTGGTGTCAAAACAGAGAGATGTGAAGGAAATGCCCACCGCGCTGCGGTGTTGTAGAATTTTCACGATTTGGGGGACCTTCAGAAGCACCGATCCAAAGACCACACCGTATGGAAGCACATACGCTACGAAGTAACGTACAATGGCTTCGACATCAAGATTTCCGCCCTCATTTACAAAAAGCGGGGTCGCGGTAAACGGCGTAGAATCTGGGGACTCCATTTATGATATTCTCTCCTCTGCTTTTCTGTATTCACCTTATTTCTCTTTTGGTGTGTGTATGTGTGTGTATGTGTGTGTTTTTGAAACGACTATTTCCCCCCCCCCTCCCCTTTGTTTTGCTTTATATGTATATATTCTTCGTTGTTATTCAATGCATAACGAGGAAATTAAGAAGAGCATGTGTACCGTAAAGCAGAAAGGCTATAGAAACACAGATTAAAGTTCCTCCAAGGGGAAACAATACAAAGAAAAAAAACCGAAGTTCGAAATGCCAAAGTACAAGAAGAAGAAAATCAAAGCTCAGAAAAGCTCACCGCCTCGTTCATAGTCCAGAGAGCAACCATCATACTGCGCAATAATGAAGGAAGTTTCAGGGTAAAAGTTTGGAAACGACGGATTTGAGTCCACCCCCTGGTTAAATATTGGCATCACACTTCCATTTTGTGGAAAAATGAAGAAAACACGAGGAAAGTATTCACCCTGCCCTGCAAACGCCTCTCGCACCGTCTCTGCCTCTCCCATTCGCAACTTCCCTTTTCTACTACCTCTGTGAAGAAACAAGGAGTCATTGCGAAAGTGCGGCAGCGGATACGGATAGTTTTCGGTCAGGTCAACCATAGATTCAGCAAAAACCATAGTCATGTATTCACTCAACAGTTCAAATTCTGCGCTGTTTCCCAGATCCTGTAGTAATGCATGACACGCTGAACAGTCATCGCGGTAAAACAACAGCATAATAGGCCGATGGCACAGCTCATTAAGAGATTCTGAACGAGCCCCTGCTAAAAGATGCGTTTCAATTTCCTCAACCCTTCCTGCCGCGTCGCCGACTCCCGCATGTGAAGCAGCGACAGTGCTCACTAACAAAGTACATCGGGCCGCGGTCACCGTGCGAACCAGCTGTCTCCATCCAATCCAAGGAATATGTCCCGTAAACTGTTGCAGCGCGTTAGCTCCGACGCTTTCCTGATCGCTCTTGTATGGAACATCCCGATCACGTGACCCTTCCTCGGAGACAATTTTGGCGCTACCTATCATACATGCAGAAAAAAACAAAGCGTATACCAAAAACCAGAGCCACATACGCAGCGTAGAAACACTTCTGAAATACAACCTTGCGCTGCCCTCGCCACCCAACTGTGGAATTGACTTTTGCCTCATCAAAGAGCCCGAGAAGCTCGTCGCGTAGTTTTCTTTTTTTTTTTTGGCCTTCTTCCTTTTTTTTTTTTTTTGAGTGTTTGATATTTGTGCCGTTTAGCTTTTCGTGTGATCTTCCAATAAAAACACTATTTAAATAAATAAATAAAGAGCAATAGAGACCAATTTGTTTTTTTTTTCATCAGTTTCGTTGTTGTTGTTGTTGTTGTTGTTGCGGTTGTTGTTATTTTTTGTCACTGGTGTCGCCGTCGTCAGTCGGAAGGGAACGCAGCAGGTCCTTCCAGCTTTGCCCCCATCGCAGTGTGAACAAAAAGAACGGGGTAAGAAAAAAAAAGTTTAGAAAGCGATAAAATTAAAACATATACTTCTGGCAAAACTTAAGGAAGAATACAATTCCCCTTCATTCTCGCAGTCTCGCCACCCAGCGCAAAAAAAAAAGAGTTGCGTCCAGTTTCCCTCCTCCCACCCCTTGATAGTCAATTTCGCACGCAGGTCCTTATGTGAGACGGAAGAGGAGAAAAATGTCGACGAAAAGAAAGGCATGAAAAAAGCAAAATAATTCATATACGGCAAAAGAACGCCAGAAAGTCAAATAACCAAAAAAAGAATAGGTCACAAGTTGCGAAGGCGAGAATCGTGAACATAGCCCATAGTTTTTTTTTTCTGCGGGAGAGAAGGGCCTATTTCTAACAAGAACAAAGGGCAAACTATCATATATGGTATAACAGTAACAAAGCCCAAAAAAGAAGAAAGATCACAACGCCATAAACTCAGTTGTGTGCATATATTGACCCTTTACCATTATTGTTATTTATATCTTTCCTTTGTCATTTACAAGCACATTCTTCTTTTACGCACAAAACCCGTTCTCGGAATTTCATTGGGGAACTATATTTCAATCGGAGTGCGTAAGAAAAGGATGAGAAAGAAGATCCTTGCTTCGTGGCCGCTTTTTGTGATCAAGAGTCAGACACGCCTCTACAAACGACAAAAAAGATGCATCAGTAACACCATGCGCCGCAAGCTTTTGTCGAAGCACACTATAAGGAGCTCCATCGAGGAGTGTTTCCTCATTTTCTCCCAAATCAACAGTATCACTCTCTTTTTTATGCATCGCTTTTTCATTTACTTCCTGGGATTCCCTTGATTGAAATACTGGAGTATATAAATAATAATATGAAGAATCCTCTGCAGCATCTTCCCCATCCTTATTCCCTTGTTCATAGATACAACCAAATTTATTTATAAATTTGGCCGTATGTCGACCCTCCCATAGCATTCTTCGTGGAAATGGTCGTCCACAAACATAAACAATGCGAGCAAGCATTTCTGGAACTGTATCAGACGTAAAAAGAACTTCACCTGTAACAAGTTCCACCAGAATTGCGCCAAGAGACCACACATCTATCCGCCCATCGTAGTCACAACCAAAAATTACCTCAGGAGCTCGATAGCTGCGACTCTGTATATACGAGCTGAGGTGGTCACTCAAAAAGCAACTACTACCAAAATCAATCACCTTCACCACACAACGGCGATGAGAGACAAACAATACGTTTTCCGGCTTCAAGTCGGCATGAATAAGATTTAGACTATGCACGTAAGTGAGTGCCTCAGCAATCTGACGAGCTATACGACGAAGACGCGGAATAGTAAAGTAAAATGTTTCCTCTTCTTCACGGTTGTATTTAGAATACTCATACAAGTTGTCTGAGAGTAACTCTGTTACCAACATTGTGTGCTCTTTATAATAGAAACAGTCAATGAGGCGCACCACATGAGCCTTATCAGGATCCTTGTATTTGTTGATAAGAGTCAACAAACGAATTTCATCGAGTGACTGATCAAAAAAATCCTTCGAGTTATTGATAATCTTAAGGCATACCTCAGCGTAACCAGCGATTCTTTTCCCTTTTTTCCTTCTGTGGATTCATTCTCCTCAGCACCATGATTAGAGGCATACTCAGTTTCATGGCCATTTTCTTCCTCCTCATAGTCTTCGTAAAATGGTTGATGCAAATCGTAGCAGCGCACTGCTCGACTAAATGTTGCCTTTCCTAGCAACTCTATAATTTGATAGCGATCCGCGACAATCGCATCACGCTTAATGGGAAACGTTTTTTCTTCCTCGAATCCGGTTTTTAAAGGATCCATAATCACACGAAGATTAAATGATCCCATGGTTACTGGGGCCTTCCCTTCCTCAGCCAGACGTCGAAACTCACGCCGTCGCTCTTCACGCGCCCGGACGGCGTCAAAAACCACCTCTTGCTCAATTTCTACCACAAATTCAAATGGTGATTTTGGAATAAAAGAATCACGAGCCTCTCCCGTTGTGGCACATTCTTCATACTCATAGTTGATGAATTCCTCCTTTGTTATGTACTTTGGTCTGGTCGACTTCGATAAATTACAACGACGCATACTATCGCCAAACATTTTGCTTAGTAAATTGGCTTGTGCTTCTGTCACACCGCCTCCAAAGGGAAACGATGGAACACGAAAAACTTTTTTGTTATTTGATTTTGTCTCATCTTCCATATAATCATTGTCGACCGTTTCGTCTTCACTGTCAACTTCAACTGTTTCTCCAGTGTCAAGACGAAGAGACAACGGTTCGGGAAGCCAGGTGCAACCACTTATCTCTTGATACAACACGGGATCAACTGCCTTAAAGACGACTTGTGTCTTTACACCATCATAGACATTTTCTTCAGAATCGCCAGAAGAATCAAAGGCCGTCAGGCGTGCGGTTGATGGCAATTTGTGTCGATTCAAATGAGGGGCACCTTCATCCGCATCTTCACCCTCATCTTTATCCTTCTCTGAAAGAGAAGTTTCTTGATTATCCAATTCGGGATTGTAAATGTTCCGTTTTGAGGTTGTTCTCCCATCCTTTCGCCTTTCGGGAAGATTCAAGGATGCGGGCATATTGTGACGAATCAATTCCTCTAATTCAATACCTCCCGAGACAGAAGAAGTATTAACAGGGTCGCGATGGTAGTGGGGTGCTGTCAAACCGTTTAAGCGATTCGTTTCCGGTACTGACGATTCAATTGCACTCAGAAGAACCCCGTAAGAGTTTGATTCCTCAATGCAACGCGTTCTCCGTTGGGCGTCTTCAGTAGCGTGCAACATGCGCTTTGCAAGGGCCTTTAGCTCTTCAATTATAGAATCCGTAGACGCATCCTGGCGCTCTGGATTGCTATCTACCTCCATCGCCTCCGTCTCAGTCTAAATACTTTCCCCCCTCCTTGCTGTTGTTGTTTTGTTGTTGTTTTGCTTTTTCGCGTAATTTCCTGCAGGTCTTTTTAGAAAGAGGTACCCTAGACGCCAAACCAAAAGCGATTATGGGGGAAAAATGATGAATTAAAAAAAACATACACAAGAACGCACCATATACAAATATATGTATACATTATCATGTTTTAGTTATATTTACACATGTCGGCTGTCAAATCCATTTTCCCCACGAAAACAAACCCCTCCCATCCACAAATAATCATTTAAAAAAAAACCGGAAGGAGACCACGATGGAAATCCATCGAAAAGCACCCCGGGACCTCCCGCGCCCCGGGCTAGAAAAAAAAACCGCAGCCGCCAGGACCCGGCGGCTGGCCCCGAAGAGCCCGCGCCCCAACGAAAGGAGTTGTGGCGACGAGCCGCGTCCGATGCCAGCGCCGCGACGCCTCGCCGCGATGAAAGACGCCACGGCCGGTTTGCGTCGCGGCGCTGGCGCTCGGGGTGAAGGGGGGCTGCCGCATACGTGTAAACATATA